ACACCCCTCATTTGGTTTTTCATAAAAAAATTTTTTCTTTTGGTAGTGGACCAAAATGTCAAGATGCTTATTTTTGGACATTTTTCAAAATCGCGGACGCGTAGCAGGGTGCTAAAAATTTATTTGAGGACGCAAACTATATGAATATCGAAGCGCAAAGTCTCTTCTTTCCAACGAGACCAAAAATATTGTCCTACGATTTCTTTCTGTCATTTTATGGCACTTTGAATCAAAAGTTCGACAGCAGCCGTTCGATAGCTTAAATGATGAGATCACAAAATTCTAGCTGAAAATCCTTCGATATGTGGATTATTGTAACCTTATGGGAAAAGATCGTGGGACAACTTTTTTGACCGCGTTGGAAAGAGGAAACTTTGCTCTTTGAAATCATGGTAATTTCGATTGCAAACAAAATTTTTTAAGATCTGCAACGACAATTGAATTCGCACAATGAGGAAAAAGCGACTAATTTCATAAATCCATCTGCCACTTGCAGCCAGAAGATTCTAATAAAATGCACATTATGGTATTCAAAAGCGGTTACATTTATCTTCAAAATGAGCCAAGGTTCATTGTCCTACGATTTTCTTTCGTAAAATTAGGGTACTTTGAACATCGAAGGATTTTCACCTACGATTTTGTGACCTACGAGTCGAGTCACAATTTTGATTCAAAGAGCTATAAAATGGAAACAAGAATTCGTACATCGATGTTTTTGTGCTCGTTTGAAAGAGAAGACTTCGTTCTCGAGGATCAACTTAACTACAGCCTCAAAGAAAATTTTTTCACTTCTGCAAAGTCATTTGAATCCGAAAAATGCCTGAGAAACGACCATTTCACTTTCTGCGCTGCAACATAGACCAAAAAACTGCTAATAAAATGCACCTTCCGGTACTCAAAAGCGGACACTTTTACCTTCAAAATGAGTTAAAGTTCGTCGTCCTACGATCCCTCTCCCCAAAGTTACAAAATCCTGAAAATCGCCTATTCCGCGGCCTCGGCACATCGAACGGCCAATCTCGCGCGTCCGCTCCAAAGCGCGGCACTCCGGCGAGAAAAAAAAATCGCCGAACGAAGTTCTCGGTCCCCTTGGAAAGCGGAGACTGTCCCCGCGGAGCCCGCAGTGGTACCAGCGAAATGAAAAATATCGCGAGGGCCGCGGAGACGCTTGGAATTTGAATTCGCGATATTTCCGCTAAAAGATTCCGTCGGAATTCCAGCATAGAATGAAACGTTCCCGCGGAGGTCTCCGGGGGATGAAGTGGCTGCGGCCGTGGGAGCGCGGGGCCGAAGGAATCCAGCGAATTTCGAAAATTTCTCAAGTCCCGTCGCCGGTGTTTCAGCGTTCAATCCCCGGCTCGCCGGGGCTTGATATTTCCGGCGCTCGTAACGCTCCGCTCGTGCGTTACATAAATTGTGGAACTCTAATGTCCTCTCGAGCTAAAGAGGCGATGAAAGTTCAAGAGCCCTTCGCGAGGCTCCCCCTCCCTCTCGTACATACATATACGTATATACATATATATATATACGTACACATAGCCCGGTTTTATAACTTGGTCGCGGAGAACGTGCATGTATATCGAGAGACGTTCCTTGATAAACTCGAGCTCGCCGTGATCCAGCGTCGTGTCTGCGACGTTCCACAAACGGGGCTTAACCGCGGAAATTGCGGGGGCGTCTCGGTTCGGCTCGCGGTCAGATATACGGCGGCAGGAGCCGCGGAGCCCGTAGAATTTCGAAAAACCGTCGAAAGTGACGGAGCCGCCGCCGCCGCTCGCCGGAAACGAGCCCGACGTCGTATCCGCCGAATAACGAACGTTTTCGCCGGCCGTCCGACTTATACCGGATCCGTGCTACTTCGCCGAGCCGTGTCCGACCAGTTATCGACTGGTATTTCACCGGCGACGCTCGTTCCCTCGGCCGGAAGAGACGCCGCCGCGCCGAGAGGAGACTGGCTCCTCTCCGGTGTCCAGGATGATGAAAATCGAGAAAAAATTTCGACGAGCAGAGCCGCGGTTATGATCCGGCCGAGCTTTAGCCAAGCACAATGGCGGATATCTCGGGAGCTCCACGTCGATCCCATCCACTCGCGGGCCAGCTTTTTTAAGCCCGCCATTAACGGAGAACGGATATTCCAGCCGGCGAGGAAATAAATGATGGAGGATCACCACAAAGGGAACGGGGGTAGACTGAGGGGGGGGAGAGGCAACCGAATGAATTTATTTGTGGGATCGATCGGCGCCGGCGAGCCGAAAGCTCCTGGAACTACCTTTTGTCGTTCTCGGGCTGCCCAGGCAGAACCGTCTAGGGGTTAGAGGTGGCGCGCGCTGTTTCAGCCAAGATTTATCTTTCATTATTTTTCTGTCGCTGTTTCACGCTCTTTGAAATTCAAATTCGTCCGCGCGCCGCGGCGAACATCTCTCTTTTTTCCTCGCCCGTGTCGAGACAACGGAACCGCGAGGAACGGAGTCTCAGCGAGATCAGGCGAGATCCGGGAAATTCGTGTACGATTCCCTTTCAACGTTTCGTGTCGCGCTTCGTGCGAGCCGAGCGAAATCTGTCGTTCGATGGTCGCGGAATTCTGCGCGAAAATCCTTCGATGCACGAAGCGCTGTAACGTCGCGGAGAGAAATCGTGGGTCGATGAACCTTGGTGCGTTCTTGAGGCGAATGTTTACGCTTTCGAATGCCGGTGCATGCATTTTGCTGCAATATTTTTTGTCTAAGTTACAGCGCGATAAGTGAAATAATCGTTTCTCAGCCATTCTTCGGATTCAAATCGCTTTGCGGAGGACAGACGAATTTTCTTCGCGATTGAAATTTACGCGATATTCGAGAATGAAGGTTTTCCTTTCGAACGAGCACAAAAGCATCGCTGTACGAGTTCTTGTTACCGTTTTATAGCTGTTCGAATCGAAACTGTGGAATTAGTTGCGTTAAGTCGACTCGTAGGTCGATATTCAAAGTGCCGTAACTTCGTGAGAAAGAATCGTAGGGCAATGGACTTTGGCTCATTTCAAAGAGTAAAATCTCCTCTTTCGATCATCGTAAGTTACATTATTCTAGAGTTTGCGTATCCTAAGTTGTAGGCGAAATTGTAGAATTAGTTGCCTCTCTATCCATTTTTCTCCGGATTCAAATGTCTCTGCAGAAGTCAACAAATTTTTTCCTCGATTTAAACCGCCGCGATTTCGCGGAGCGAAGTTTCTTTTTTCCGACGGGATAAAAAAAATTGTCCTTCGATTTTTCTCCACAAAGTTGCAGTAGGGGAGACCAGGGACGGTAGGGGACACCGGTGCGGTAATAATACGTTGAATATCTCGAAATATATAAATAATTATATGAATATATAAATAAATATACATTGATCTGTCGTACATAGGTAAATATGAAATATGTAATTGCACGAGGAAGAAAATAACTTTTTGTTATCTAAAAGTTAACTTTCCTTATTGCTTTAAAATTGTGACGCGAGTGCTTTTTGCAGCAAATATAGTTGCCTTCAAAAGTGTTCGTACACCTTTTAAAATGCAATAACTTTTTCAAAACTGAACTAAGTGACTTGAATTCCTTTTTTAGGTGATAGAGGGACTAGTCTACGAGACGACGACTTAAATGTTAGTCTCTCCATCATATAAAAAAAATTGAAGCCGTTTAATTCAGTTTTAAAATAGTTTATTAAGGTTAAAAAGGTGTACGAACACTTTTGTGGGCCACTGTATATACCCCCCCCCCCTCCTTCCTCGTTTCAAATCTCTCATTTCTTATGTCTTGAAGAAATGTTGACGATAAAATTAGCATTAATAATTTTTACGACTATTTGTTTATTATATATAAATATTATTATATTATCAATATTTATAATAATAAGTATATATTTATGATATATATAATATTATAATTTATAGTATTTATAATATTATAATTTACAATATTTATAATATCATAATTTATAATATTCACAATATCATAATTTATAATACTTATATTATCATAATTTATAATATTTATAATATCATAATTTATAATACTTATAATATCATAATTTATAATATTTATAATATCATAATTTATAATACTTTTAATATCATAATTTATAATATTCACAATATCATAATTTATAATATTTATAATATCATAATTTATAATATTTATAATATTACAATTCATACCAATAGAATATTTATAATATTTATATATTATTCGACTACATATTTGTCGTTGTAAATGCAACAGTTCGCGTGTAATACTACTGTAAAATCAATGCGTTACAACCGTCCCTCGTCCGGACTAAAAAGTGAAACGTAAACTCGAATATTCCGTCAGCGACACATCTTTTCTCTAACCGTTTCCTTCCTCTGCGGCGAAATACGTTTCTCTGCAATACCGAGCTATAACGAGCCCGGTGTCCGCCCGCTGATATTTTATTTCTCGCCGAGAGAAATTTTTGAACGGTCTCCGGAGCCGTGCGACGAGCCCGGATAGACAGTCGAAGGCGTCGCGTAGCGCCGGTGTGCGGCGCGGCGCGGCGCGCCGGTTCGGTTTAAATAAGTCTCTCGCGGGAATCACGCGACCCATTGAGCCCGGGAGCCCTTCGTGTTTGCGTTTCCCTGGGAAATCGATGATCTTTCTCCTCGGTTGAATAATAGATTCGTCTGGAAGTCGATTCCCGGCGGTCGGCGATAAGGGGGCCGGCTTAAATCGAGCGAAAGAATCACGAGCCGCGGGTCGCGTTATCATTCCCATTTCGCCACGTGACTGTCGTGTCGTGTCGTGTCGTGTCGTGTCGCGTCGCGTCCCCCGGAAATGTCAAGCTGCGCCGCGACTATAATATAATGGCCGTCTATCGATCGGACCAGGCCTCCGCGTTTCACGTGACGCCGTGCCCCGCGTGACCCGCGCACGTGACCGCCGCCGCCGCCGCCACCGCCGCCGGAGAGGAAAAAAAAAGGAACGAACGGAAACATACGAAAGAGGTTCTCTATCTGTCGCGTCGCCCACCTGGGTGAAGAAGTAGTAGTACACCTTCATGCCGCGGGCGGCGAACAGCTGGGCGAAGTGTATCGACGGGCAGATGAAGAAGTAGTCGCCGACCACGTCCGCGATCATCTTCTGGTAGATGTAGCCGTTGTTCACCTGCTCCCAGTCCGTGTACTGCAACGAGACAATGGAACTTCTGACAATGGAATTTCTTTCGTACGTATCGATGTCGCGGCGGGAGTCCGAACGAAAATGTTGAAACGTTCCGATGCTCAATGTTTTGCGAATTCAGGGGACTCTCCGCGAACTGTAACAACATTTTTTTCCCGGAGACACCGACCGACGGAGTTGCGTGGCCGGTAGTTTTCCCGTTTGCAACGCGCTCGGAAAGAACGACGTACGATTTTTTTCGTCGCCGTTTCGCGACGCCTCGACGAACGTAAAGCGTCGCGGCGTTAGAACGACTTTAACGCTGAACGTACCTGGACCGGTCGTTAATTTTCTATTGGAAAATTCGTGTGAAATGTTGTCGCTTTTTCATATTTTACTTCGCGACTTTTTCTGTTAAATTTGGAGAATTATTTGTTTATATTTTATTTTATATTATATATATTTGTTATCTATAATTTATAATATATATAAAGTATAATAGTATATATAATGTATATAATATTTATAATATATATAAATTATTTATATTATGTATATTTTATTTTATATTTACCATTTATTTATATTTGTATTTGTTAAATCTGAAAATCAATATTTCTCCATTCGATCAGGAAAAATAAATGCATCTAAAAACTTAAAAATAAATAAATGAAAAAATAATGATTACAAAAAATAATTTTAATAATTGAAATAAATATATAACAAATAAATAAAACTGAATAATGAAATGATCTAATAACCTCGTCTAAAAACCGATCGGTTGACCGGTTGCGATACAAACGAGTGTACATTAAATCTCGGTACGTTTATTGTTAATCGAGAAATGCGCCCGGCGGGTGTTTTTTTTAATCTTGGAAGTTCTCCGTGCCTTGCGACGCTCCATTGTCGTTATATTTCCCGGCGGCATTTATTTTTCCCGGCAGTGTTTTCCAAGGGACGGGATCTCCTCTTCCCGCGGCGAATAGTGGACAAAAAAATCTCCGCCACGATCGGAAAATACTCCGACGACTCTGGAAACGGGGGCGTTTATGATGTTGTCCGTTCGAGAAATAAACAAGCAGCCGCGGCCCGATAGATCTACGGCGTGGTTAAGCGCTGGCCGACGCCATCGTGGAATTTTTAATAAAAGAAGAACGGTATCGGCGCGCGCCCCGATGTTTGTTACGCTCGGGCAACAAACTGCACCCGCGAGTTCGGTAGCCCGGTAAAATTCGCGGCACAATCAAGCTCCATTTATCACGGTGGCTCGCCGGAGCCCGGCTCGGTTCAATACGCGCCGATTATTGCTCCTGTTTTCGTGTAAATAGAACGACGGCCGGCCTCTCCGCGCTAGCCCCGCGCGGTAATCGTTCCGAACGATGAGGTTTCCGAGCATTGACGCCGCCCGGGCAAGAAAATTTCCTCGATTGGTCCGCCGTCCTGGTCAATCTTCTCGCCTCATGAATATTCTTAACGAACTGGAGGCGTTACGCAACACGGACGTTAATTGGATCGAATCTAGGGGGTCGTGAATAAAGATTTATTCCCCTGGAACTGCCGTGCTGCTATCCAAGTTAAACTGCGAATGGATACTGTTTCCACCGCGACTACATTTTCACTGGCCTGTCTGCTGTCCACTAGGTTCATCTATTTTTGCTAGACACGCCCACGTTCTTGTTGGACCTGTCTACTGTCCGCTAGAACCGCCTACCTTTTGTTAGACACGCCTACATTCAAAGCTGTGTGTCTGCATTTATATTAGGTTTGTCTACATTCAATTGGGATCTTCTACACTTTGACTGGACCTGTCTACTTTGTTCTAGGACACGCATACATTCAATTCTGTCCGCCTACATTTATGTTCTGCTCACTTACATTCCTGTTGGATCTTCCTACTGTCCACTAGGACCGCCTACTTATCGCTAGACATGCCTACATTCAAATCTGTCCGCCTACGTTTCTGTTGGACCTGCCCACTGTCCACTAGGACCGCCCACTTTCTTCTAGCCACTCCCACATTCAACATTGCCCGCCCATATTCAAGTAGATCCTCCCACCAACTAGAACCGTCAACGCTGAATCGGGCCCTACCTTTCCACCAATTTACACACGCCCACAGTAAATTCCTCCCACTTTTGTATAGGCCCCTCCCAGCGCGGTTTGCCCGAATATGAATGCTACAACGAGGGCCACAGGTAAATATCCGCGGCTCCTGTTTCAGACAGGCGAGAAATTCCGTCGAGATGGTAATCTTGATTTAAAAGGGACACGGTCGTTGCCGCGGCGGCGCTTGTAATTCAGGAAACCATCGCGTCGGCTGTCCTCGGCGGCGGTGGTACCGTCCCCGCGTTACAAGAACGCGTTACACCCGCCGGATTACGTGTTCGCCGCAAAGACACTCCACGGGAACTTTGATTAAAGCCTCGAACCACACGTTGCCGTCGTATCCCGTGGTTCTGGAGCCCCGTTAATTCCGGCCTATCCGCCGCGGGAACAGCCCGGTACACGGGTAACCGTGTCTGTGCGACCGGTTTCATTAACAACGCCCCGAGCCGGGACGGTGGCTGCAATCGTTCGGAAAAAGACAATGGGACACGGCTCGTTTGCGACGGCTTTAATCGGGCCCGGCGGCTTCGCGGAACGGCGTTGCTTGTTCGCGCGTGGAAAATTAGGGAATCCGATGACCGAAATTTAAAATCGGCGCTGCGCCATCGACGATAATCCTTTGATGAAGCAGCGGGTCCCTCCTCGGGCCGTTGCGGAGTCGGCCAATCGAATCCGGTGCTTGTTGTTTCAAACGAGGCAGGGCCGTAGCTGCGATTCCAGAAGGATTTCCGCTCGTCGAGGGCCGTACAGAAAATTTTCGCGAGAAAGAAACTCACGTCTCGCACGTTGAAATAACTTCCGAAAAATTCTTCGACATTCAAAGTACTGTAATTTCGTGAAAAAAAAATCGTACGATAGTGCACCTAGACTCATTTCGAAGGTAAAAGTCTCCTCTTTCGAATGTCGTATGGCGCACTATACTAGAATTTTTGCGGTCAAAGTTCCAGTGCGAAAAGTGACATGGTCGTTTCTCAGGTCACTCGAGTCAGACTCGAATCGGTAAATTCAAGAAAAAAAATCGCAGGGCAATGAACCATGGCTCGTTTCGACGGTCGAAGACTCCGCTTTCGATCGCTGTCGGCTACGTTTCGCTAGGATTTTTTATCTCCGAGTTACAGTACAAAGAACGACAATAGGGATTTTTGCTGACATTCCGACTTCAAACGTCGAGGTTCGGACCCCGAAAAACGTATCCCGCGATTAAAACCGTCGTGATATTAAAGGACGTGAAATTCCACGGAATTCCGTCGTTCCGTTTTTATGCATATTTTTCGCGTGACGGCCAGACGGAACGGCCGCGGGGCAGGACGCAGCGGCGGCCACGGCTCTCGGTCGCGTTTCATTAAACTGGCGGACGGGTCGCGAAGTAATCTTTGAGCAATCAAAGTTGACCGGGGCCCGATTCATCAAGTTAGCCGCGGCCCTCGCCTCTTTGCCGGACCGGCCCGCGGCTGATATTCCCGGATGCGTTGCCCCGGAGTTTCGCGCGGCTTCGGACCAGGCACAGGCTGCGCGCCCGATCGGAACGGGAACGCGAGAAAACGCGGGGCGTTGAAGGGGGGTCGGGGCGTTGATCGATCGACTACCGGCGTTAATTATCACCGGGGGGTGGGTGAGGGAGGGGAAGCCGGAGGAAGGGCTAGGGAGGCTAATTAATCGAAAGTTAACCGGCGCGTCGAGGAAATCGAGGTCGCACGCTTTCCACGGAAGCGCAAGTTTCCGAGAGCGCCGTGAACGGAACACCGAACAATCCTCTTCACCGTGCAACTAGTCACGCGTATCCGTTTCCACTTTTTACGGTCGACGCGCGGCCTGCGACCGTAGCCGGCAACAGGTTCGCGGACGGTAGGCCTGGAGAACGAGAATCGAACTCGGCATCCCTAAGCGTTCCCTTTACGGTCCGTCTGGCTGGAAAATTTGTTTGACGAAGAAACTTCGGCTCCGTGGAACAAACGCTGTGCCACGTCTACTGGAAATTCATTCACTCCCTTCTCCGCCGCCGGCATACCGGGTGTCCGGGAATTTTTTTCGTCGCGGCGCACGATGCTACGGTAAATCATGGTTAAAGTCCTGAATAATCGAAGTCGTCGGCGGCGAGGTTTTAAGTCACGGATTTTGGTAGTTTAACGATCCCTTTATGGGACTGGGAACAACGAGACGAGCCACACTTTTGCGGCCGAGTGGCAACTGCACTTCAAACTTCGTGTTTGTTGGCCGGTCGTTACTCGCGAGCGCGGGCGACAGTGAGAAGTGCAGAGGGTAAAACTCGTATCTTGTTCTGGAGGACGTTAGTTTCTGTAAAAAGGATATTGTTCCCGTTGGTAAGTACTTTTTTTGACGCCAACGTGTCAGGAATTCTTAACTGTTGCATTTGCAAACCGATGAATTGTAGATTGGAATTATAGGAGGAAATGCTTTTATTGTTGTAAAGTTATTTTGAAACAAGTTATCTCGGAAACAAGTTGATCGTTAGTTGCATAGACTAGCTTTAATTGTATTTAAGATCTGATTGCACAGGCTTCATTTAGAAAGGAAAAAATTGTCGGTGGGCGGGGCCTGAGCGAAGTGGGCGGCTCTGACTTGAAATGGGCGGGTCTAAATTGAAATAAGCGTGTCTTACTTGAAATGGGCGTACTTAACTTGAAGTGGGCGGGCCAAGCTTGAACTAGGCAGGTCAAACTTGAAATGGGCGTGCCTAACTTAAAATGGGCGTGCCTAAAAAAAAGAGGACTTGGGGGAAGTGCCGGGTGCAGCGAAGAATTACTTCGAACGTATAATACAAGGGCCGAGGAAGTTTCTTGCCGGCCGGGAGCACGACCCAACAATTCCCAACGACCACTTTTCTTTGCTCGTTAGCTTATTTTTCGAAACGCTGCTCGATACTCGCGGTTCTCCGCCGTCGAGGGTCGCCGGCGGAA